TATTTTAGAAACCCCATTTTCTTTGAGCATTTTGGTTTATCAGAGTTTTACTGGATAGGGAGTAAAATGCTGATGAAGGGCACATTTGAAGGCTTCATTATAAAAAGTGCTAATTGGCCATTCTTCATCTCCACAGAAGGCAGAATTAGAGGACATAGGTTTAGTCTGCAAGAGAGATTAGGGCAGACGGAAGAACTTCCTGATGGTAAGGGTTACTCAGGTTGGAGGGTGCGTGTTGGTCCCCGGGCACAGTTCCCTGACGTGTTCTTAGTGCAGAAACCTTCCCTGTTCTCGGGTCTGGGACCTGCCTCCATTTCCCATCTTCCCTGCCCTTCCTGCTCCTGCCCCTTTTTTGGGCAGCATTTCTGTAGGCCTCATGACAGGTCTTTCTGACCCATGGGGAAGCCCTTTACCTGTTTTGGGGATACAGTATTGTGGAGATAACTGGGGAGTAGGAAAGAGGACAGTAAGAAGCAGGCATAAAGTAGAAACTGAACCAACTGGTAGTGATTATTATCTTGGTTATGTTTTTTAATAGAATTTTTAGAAATCCCTCCTTTCAACAAGCAGTACACAGAATGCCAGCTTCGAGCAGGAGCTGGCTACATTCTTGAAGACTTCAATGAAGCCCAGGTAAGGCGTTCTTTTGTGTAGCTTCCCAGGAGAGGCAGTAATGCAAGTTCACTTGCTGGACCAAGAAGTGGCTGGATAGAGTTGGTAGAGATTTGGGAACTGAGACACTGCCAAAATGTTGTTACATAAAATAGAACTTTTACTGTGTATAAGGAAGAGAAGTCAGAACCTCGGGTTACATTTAATAGCATTGGTTCTGTTGCTGGGACAAAAGCAGATATAAAATTTGTGTTTAACGGAAATCTTTTTCATGGTACTGGCTAAATACATGGGGTCTGGTTGTCCCTTGAGGACTTAGAAAGCTGCAGGTGAGGCAGGGAGATGATCTAGGGAAGCTGCTTGGGTGAGAGAAGAGGCCTTGGGCAGGACGACAGACTCAGTCACATTTTGGATAGTATCTGGTGTTCAACTCTGTTCTCTGTGACTCATTAAGGAAGCTATTAAGCAGCTTCCCATAATCATCACCAGACCCCCTGGTTTTGTGCCTTTTCCAGTGTAACACAGCCTACCAGTGTCTCCTAATTGCGGATCAGCACTGTCGAACCCGGAAGTACTTCCTGTGCCTTGCCAGTGGGATTCCTTGTGTGTCTCATGTCTGGGTCCATGACAGCTGCCATGCCAACCAGCTCCAGAATTACCGCAATTACCTGCTGCCAGCTGGGTACAGCCTTGAGGAGCAAAGGATTCTGGATTGGTGAGTAGCTGTGAGCCCCTCCAGAACAGCAGACAGGAAGACGGCAAGCTTCCAGAGGGGGAGAATCTCAGTGGGAGAGTAAGTATTTCTAGAAACTGGAACAGTCATAGGATACATGACAGAATTTGGGTTTGAGATTATTTTTGCAATTTAGTTTGTTTTCCTAGAGTATATGGTTAGGGACCTTTTTAAAAACATGTGAGATTTTCATGTAGATTCAACTTGTCAGGTGAGGGGACTAAGTTTTAAGCAAGACATTTAAAAATACAGGCCCAGGAACGTGATTTGACTGATTTTTGGGCTTAGGATAAATCTGGAAATCAGAAGGGGGAGATTAGAAGGTCAGGATCCCAGAAAAGACACATCATTCAAAAAGAAAGAGGGAAGGGGTGATTCCCTCAGCAGGGCTTTTGAAAGCATTCAGATGTACCCGAGTCCCTATTCAGAAAGGCTATTGTTGGATCTTATCTATTGTTGGATATCATGCTGTTTCTCTGACTGCTCCGTAGGCAACCCCGTGAAAACCCTTTCCAGGATCTGAAGGTACTCTTGGTATCAGACCAACAGCAGAATTTCCTGGAGCTCTGGTCCGAGATCCTCATGACTGGGGGGGCAGCCTCTGTGAAGCAGCACCATTCAAGTGCCCATAACAAAGGTACCTGGGAACCGTGTGTTACTGAGCCAAGGGTGTCCTAGCTCTAAGTCTCAGGCCCGATAGAAATGCACATAAGGTCAGTCTAAGAGAAGAAAAAGAGTCCTTTCACGAGGTGAGCCACCATGAGCGAAGCACTGGGCTGTTTGTGCTTCTCCTGGTGTCCACTGTGTACTTGCTAAACAGAAGGCCAGCATAGAGTGAGCACAGCTTTCCACTTTGTGATCAGTGACTGTGTTTGACTGAAGGGCTTTAATTTGGGCAGAGTGGGATACACTGGTGAGAAGGCTTACCTGTCTTTTTACTGGAGGGCTAAATTGAGTCTCCTTTCCTCGTCCACCTTCCCCTGCTCCCTGCAGATATTGCTTTAGGGGTGTTTGACGTGGTGGTGACGGACCCCTCGTGCCCAGCCTCGGTGCTGAAGTGTGCTGAAGCATTGCAGCTGCCTGTGGTGTCACAAGAGTGGGTGATCCAGTGCCTCATTGTTGGGGAGAGAATTGGATTCAAGCAGCACCCAAAATATAAACACGATTATGTTTCTCACTAAGGATACTTGGTCTTACCGGTTTTATTCCCTGCTGTTGTGGCGATTGTGTTTTAACCAGGTTTTAAATGTGTCTTGTGTGTAACTGGATTCCTTGCATGGATCTTGTATATAGTTTTATTTGCTGGACTTTTATGATAAAATAAATGTTGAATCTCTTTGGTTGTAGTAACTGGGATTTCTTCATCCATTTCTTTGAGCTTAAGCTCAGAACAAATAGCAAGACAAACACAGTAACTTCTCTGCAGTTTTCAGTGGACTTGTTTGCTGTAGGACAGCAGGCCAAGGAAAGTAAGACAGTGAACTTTTTATAGTTACCTGTGGTATCACTGTCAGAAGATTAACCTGGGTTGTCTAAAATTCAATACTTCCCCAAATCTGATTTTATAATAGACCCAGATTATAGTTGTGCCAAAAGCTGAATCGAATTGGGCACAGCTCTAAGTTTTCTGGCAGTGAAAAAGAAATCTCTTTAGAGTTGAACTTACAGCTGTCTTGTGGGTGCTATACTCTCAGAGCTAAAAAGGACCAGTTGTTGTGAATGGCTGCTGACTATAAACTTGATGACCTGCTGCAAGGATAAACATGAGAAACAGTAATAACACTCGAAAATGTTAGCAGCTCTAGTTAGAGGTCAGGATTTTATTACTGTCACAGTTGGAAGCTGTTCCTTTTCTACTCTTAGCATCACCCCTGTTAAATGTCCTCTCATTCTCTGAATCAAGGCTTAAGTCTCTAATACCTTCTGTTTTTCCCCCTGCCAAATAGTAAATATTTTAGGCTTTGTGGGCCATTTGGCGTGTCACCACTACTCACCTTTGCTATGATGGCATGAACGCAACCGTAGACAATAGGTAAGCAAATGAGTGTGGCTCTGTGCCGATAAAACTTTTATTTATAAAAACAGGTGGCTGGCCATAGTATGCTAACCTCTGCTCCAGAGGCAGCAGTGGAAGGGTCATCTGTAGCCGACAGTTACAGGGAATAATGTGGTAGAAGATGTAGGGGTGGACAAGGGCCAGACTGAGTGGCTACACAGTGAGGCCAGAATTATCTTTCAGTTTGGAGGCAGTTGTCCAATGCATATTTATTTTGGCTCATTACTGATATGAAGATCGATGGTTATCAGTGATGGCTGGGTATATTACTCCTGTGGTTCTTCTAAGAAGGGATAATCAGACCTGCATCTTTCAGTATTTGAAATCTAACAGTTTTTTGTCTTAAGGACCCTTTCTTCTTTGTTTTAAAAAAAATACATTGTCAGCAGCAGAATTACCTTCTTAACAGTCTGAAATAACTGGAAGTTACCAGTTGAATTCTTCAGAGTCACAGTTGAAGATCCTTAAGGATGGGAGACTCTCCATTTCAATTTCTGAAAGAGGAAAGGAGGTCTGTGGGGAAACCTAGCTTACCTGGTGTTTTTCTTGCTCAGTGGGAACATCCAGCATTTGACCTATTTATAATTAATTTTTCACATGAGCCATATTATGTTCTGAGCTGTAACTTACTGCTGTGTCTCTCGAAGCTTGAACAGTACCTAGGCATGTAGTAGGTAACCTCCGACAAACGTTCCCAGTGTAACAGACCTTGCCTGGTCAGCAGGTGGGCCGAAGCTACAAGTCCTCCGTGGTGAGTTGAGAACTCTTTGGGGTGGGGCAGAGGCCCCTCCCATGCAGGAACCAGGGGAAGGACTTGCACCCGTGGATGTTCAGTAATGGCTTCTAGGAGAGAAGTCAGAGCTTTTCCAGTCGCTGCAGATGTACGGAGGCCGGTGAGAGAAAGGGGATGTTTGTTTTGAATCTTCTGTCACAATGCAGTGGGATTATTTCAGGTTGTGGACCAGAAATTCTCACATCCCGAAACTATAGAAAGAAAAAGAAAGCTGCACAAAATGTCATGCATTCCCGAGATTTTCTTCAAAAAAGTATGAATCGCAGCAACCTGTGATCTAGACAATCTCATCTTAAAACTCTTTTTGCTAAAATCACTTAGGAGGAATCTGCCTGACATTTCAGAGAGAAAAAGAGTAAGTGCTTTTTTGAATGAGACAGACATCGGAGAAGCCACCTACCACTGAATCTATTAGATTTTTTGAAGGTTTAGAGTGTGAAGCAGTGGTTCCCTCCTCTCAGAAGCAAAAGCTCTGAGGGTCAAGGAGGCTGGGGGTAAGGGGCGTTAAGGCTGAGCAGCTGGCTCATGTCAGAACTGGGAAGTGAAGCCGTGCTGCCTCCCAGTACAGCAGTGCACAACTTAGCCAAGAACCTAAAGTCCATCTCAGCGTTAGGAATTTAAGGATTTACTTCAACTTCTACTGGAAAATAATCTTCGCTGACGATCAGACACAGCCTTTTTCTTCTCTGAGCTTTGCTTGCTTGCTTTGAACTAGATGATGACTAAAGTCTCCTTCCAACTCTGGAATTCTACAATTCGTTAAAAAGCCACACACAATCCACCAAGCGCCCTAGAGGCGGTTGTTCTTACCTGCCCAGAGTGCCACCAGCCTGGGTGTAATATTTGTTATAATCTAGTCGTAAGAGTAGCTGAGCCAAATCCGAGTTGATCTGATGATTGCGAACACTGGAGAGAATCTTGAATAGGAGTGAAGATTGGCGGCTAAAACCCTGCAGAGAAGGACTCAAGCTGTGTCACGCCTCTTAGCTCTACCAGCTACCCATGTGGAGTGAAGGGGGCAAAGGGGACTCGTTGGAAAAGTCTTCCTGAAAATTCTACAGCACTGACTGGCCTTCCGACAGTCCCATTTCTGTTGACTCCAAAAATGACTTCTTTGTACCAAGTCCACAGAACACAGAATTTCCATGAAAGTACTCTTATTCTCAGTAGGAATTTATCAGCCAGCTTTAAGTGAGTATATTCTGCTATGTACTGGGCTGGCGAGAACCTGTGTTTTCAGATAACATAGACCTGCCTGTGTTACAGGCAGATAATTATAATTTCAGTGAAATAGGGGGTTTAGTTCAAGGAAATAAGGGGGTTGGATGTTAGAAAGCAGGAACAAAGCCAGTGTGTATTTGGTGGCTGAATAAACCATTTGGGGCTTAACTGCATTTGAACACCAAAGCAGCACATACTTACCTGCTTCAAAAACTGATAAAACATTTTTTACCTTTGTATCTTGTGTGTGTGTGTGTGTGTGTGTACTGGGGAAAAGACCGTGATCCCCCACGTGCAGAACCACCTGTGTCCCTTGGACGGGGCTGCCCCTGGCCAGCGGCCAGGCTGACTCACCTTTACCAGGATGCTGAGCTGGGCAGCCCCACGTTCATCCAGTGGGCCCAGGTTCTGACTGACCAGTGAGCAGAAGCTGTGGCAGAGATCTAAGATTTCATTCAGGCAGTGAAACACCTACCCAGGAAACAGTTGGCATTAGGAGAAAAAGGAAGATACATCTGTGAAAGATTTGGGACAATAAGAGCTAAGCTATTCCCACCTTGTGGGCAAAGACCCTGCACGAAACCTCCGCCTGCGCCACAGTCAGCCAGTCGCCGTCTCTCGGCTGCGCCAAGCGTGCGCCCACCCTGAGCTCTGCTCTCAGTGCTGTTGCCTGTGCCTGGGGCACTCCCCTTGTGCCCACTCCCACTGTAGCCTTTAGCAACCCCTTGCTTCCCTCTCCCTTGTATGACTGTACTATTCACGTGGCGTTTGTTCAGGCCCCCTGTGGTGGTTACTGGTCTGTGATGTCTGTAAGTCCTGTTTCTCCAACTAGATTGTGAGCTCCTTAAGGGCAGAGCCATGACTATACCTCTTTGTATCCCCAGTGCCTTGCATACAGTAAGCACTCAATAAATATTTGATGATGGTCACCTGCTCTGATACTCTGCTGTTCCCCAAGCATGCGCTCATCCCACGTGAGGACATTCTCCCTGCCACACTGGTTCCTGGTTGTTTTCAATTCACAGAACCCTCTGGAGTGGCATCTATAGAACTCACTCTCCTTTAAAAATGGCCCCAAATACCAGAACAAAAGAATGTGACTGAGGAATAACGATTAGCTCACGTCAGAGATAAGGCATAACTATTCTATCAGAAACTACTAGGAAAGCAAAACAAAACACTGCTGGGGTCCTTTTAATCATTTTGCTTTTTTATCCTTGAACTGGAATCAGCTTGTACGCTTTCTAAGACTGGTGACAACTGGAGCCTGGGTTCTACTAATGTAAGTGCTCTGGGGCCTAGATTTTTTTTAAAAAAGCTCCCAGATGATTCTCATGTGGAGCCAAGGTTGAGAATAACCTCCCTAAAGGAGATATATGATATATGTATGTACATATGCACACACACATACACAGAAGGAGACACTACTCTACCTATCTGAAAACAAGTTCCAAACTGGTCCATCCTGATATAAAAGATTGCTAAGAAAGTAAACTCTATGTGCTTTTCATTAGTCTTTCGATGGTATCATAAAAGCTTTTAAAAAATTTCTTTAAATTCTTTTTTCTTGGGACTTCCCTGGCAGGCCAGTGGTTAGGACTTTGCACTTCCACCACAGCGGGGGCACAGGTTTGATCTCTGGTTGGGGAACTAAGATACCACATGCCGCAAAAAACAAAAATCCTTCCTCTGAGGGGTAAGCATTTATTATCTATAGCTGCTCACCAGGTCCTATGGTATAATATTTCAGAAATTCAAAGACATTTTAAGTTCCTTTTTAGTATTCCCTCTTAGTTTTTGTCAATTGTAAATTGCTAAAAATGTTTAAAGACAAGAGACTGAAAAATTGCTTAGTGATAGTTCCCCCTATCCTGGCAAGTCAACGTGTCTAAGTGATCAGTCAGGCTAGAAGCAACAACCAGCTCTACTTACAGGTTTCAACAGGATAAAGGATTGGGCCAGCAGATTGCTCAGGAAGTGGTCGTGAGCCAGTCGGATGCTTTCAAAGTCTCGGGTTGAATTGATTTGATGAAGCAGCTGTGAGAACTGAGACTCCAACACGTCTACCTTGATATGGTTACACAAATCATTTTAGTACCTTGCTTAGTCTAAGGACTCAGGACATTAAAGTGCTTGAGCAATGACATAGAAATTCTTGATCCCTGCCCACCTTCAGTGTCTTGGCAGATCCCTCCTAGCCCCCATTCCCTCCACTGATCGACATGGTTAAGTCCTGTGAGGTCCCCAGAGTCACAGCAAACTAGGCTCAACAGTAAACGCACAGCATGACTGTTAAGGCCCTCGACTCTTCATTCTCCTTCATCCACTTATTTCTGCTTTCCTCTAAATGCGCCCCAAGAGACAGATACAGTGATAAAATCCATGGATTTTCAGACCTCAGTTTTTCACCAACTGCAGGATTCTTCTTCAGTGACTCCTGCCAACCTGGGTTTTTTTTCATACCCCTTCCCTCTGTTCATCCCGCAACACAGACCTGGAGGTAGTACTGAAGATTATCCACCAAGAATGCCATGTGGTTTCTTAGGCGCCACTTGACCGCATCGGTCTGGTTGGACTTGAGGTGCTTGCGCTGCATCTGTAGGGCCCAGCAGTGCTGCAGCTCAGCTTGCACCCGGCGCACACTCAGCAAATACTTGAAAACAACATTGTACCTGGACAGGAACACCAGACTCTTCAAGATAAAAACGTCACCCCCCCCCCACCTCCACCCACGTGACACACCCTAGGACTATGTGCTACCCACCTGTCCCCAAAAAGCAGGAAGGATATCAGAATGGCTAGAAATGTGAAAACTGGTTTATTTCTATGATGGAAAATTGCACAGCCATCAAAATGAAAAAAACTAGCTGTACATTACAAAATGACTCCAAGCGATATGACTGTGAATAAAAAAGGGAAACTGAAAAGACTACATATAGCCTGATACCTTTTTGGTAATGCTTATAACAACTAAGTAGAAAAAAGTATACTTTGGGGGAACATGTGGATGTTATAAAACTATATAAAAATAATAGAAAACATGGAATTTAGGAAAGTGGTCACTTAGGGTTGAGGGAGGCACCACACAGGTAGGCAGACGTTAGGATCAGTGTAGTAGGTTTTCTTCTAGAAGTGGTTTTATGGTGTGTGTGTAAGAAGGATGGGAGGAGGGCCTTGCATGGACCAGTAAGAATGTGTTGGGAACCAAGGATTTTGGTTACTGTGATTCTGGGTCCCTGAAGACCAGAGGAGAGAAAAAATTAAGGGCTCCCTGGGGAGGGGAGAATAAATTAGGAGTTTAGGATTAAACAGATACTACTGTATATAAAATAGACAAGGAGGTCCTACTGTATAGTACAGGGAACTATATTCAATATCTTTTAAAAACCTATACTGGAAAAGAATATGAAAAATATGAATCACTGCTACACACCTGAAACTTAACACAACATTGTAAACCAACTATTCTTCAATTAAAAAAAAAACAAGGGCTCCCCTCACTGAGCTCTTAAGTAGCTGTCTGATGTTGAGTCCTGTATTGAGAAGATGCATGGGAAGAGCCGCCAATTCCTGGTGGAAATAGGCTTATTTACCTATTCTTAGGTAGGCTTGTGTAAGAACCTGATTCCATCTAGCTTTAAAAAATGTTTATTTCTAATGGAACAATCTACTGAAAATAGTACATACACCTTGTTTGGATTCTGATTTGAACAAATCCAACCATAGAAAGACATTTTTTAGATAATAAGGGAAACTTCAATATTGTTACTTTTATTGGGAATGATAATAGCATTGTAGTTAATGTTAAAAAATGTTCCTTCTCTGAATTGCATAGTGGTGGAGCAAAATGATGTCTGGGATTTGCTTTATAAGGCTCTGGCCAAAAAGAGAAGATGAACCAAATAGCATGACATGGCTGGTTACTGGAGATGGATGCTGTGTCCATGGGAGTTTGTTACAGTCCATATTTTTGTTTTTATTTGGGAATTTTCATGATAAAATGTTTAATACTTCTGAGCTTGATTTCTTCAAGGGTGTTAGGAGCCTATGAAGTGAGGAGAAAAGTGGACTGGGACCTACAGGTGCTCTCAGGAGAGAGTCCGGGCAGCTCACTTAGGTGGGCTGTGTCTCCTCCCTGAACCAGCTCTGTCTGTGTAGTCTCTCGTACCCTAAGCTTCTCTGCCCCCAAAAGTTGAGGCTTGTGTACAGGATGGGGAGGATGAGGAGAGGCCACACTGGCCGCCTGTAAATTGCTCCTTGTGTGCGTGCTCAGTCGTGTCTGACTCTTTACAACCCCGTGGGCTGTTGCCTGCCAGGGTCCTCCGTTCACGGGATTTCCCTGGCAAGAATACTGGAGTCAGTTGCCATTTCCTCTTCCAGGGGATCTTCCCGACCCAGGATTGAACCCGTGCCTCCTGCTTTGGCAGTTATCACTGCACTACCTGGGAAGCCCAAATTGCTCCTTATTTTGCAATTAAAGAAAAAAAGGTTTGAAGGGTTTGACCCTCCCAGTCATTGCGGCATTCACTGCCGTCTCACATACAGCCTCGCTTATTAGTGTTGTCTCCAGCCCCTGAAGGCATCAGAGTTCACAGCCTCTGATTTATAGACTGTTAATCTGTCGGCTGGCTCTCTTGCTCCCACCAGTTCTACTCCTGATACTTTCTTCCATGGAAGAAAGCTGGATAAACATTACCTGTGAGAAACTCAGAAATACTCACTTTTCCAGGACAGCAGGGGTGAAGAGAATGTGTAGTGGCCACTGCACTTTGTAGGAAAGACCCAGGGCCGCCCAGCCGGATGCTGGGGCTTCCCGCGGAGAAGTTTCCCTAGAAGGCCCTTCTCTTGCCTGAGTAGCATCTGTTAAGAAGAGAGAAGATGACTTTGCTCATCTAGAACCAGAGTTTCAACAAGGTGAGAAAATCATGAGATGAGCGCTCACTTGAGCCAGCAGTGTGAGAAGCAGAAAGGGGACACAAAAGGACTTGTAGGAGGCAAGAAAACGCCCGTGCGGGGTTCTCGCAGATCTTTCAGAGGTTCTTTTTTCAGCCGTAAAGAATGGCAACTATAAATAAACAGACCGTTCCAGTAGCATGACAAAAACAAAACCATGACCTGGCTCTCTCAGCATCTGACGACTTCCCTTTTCTTTTGTGTAAAATTAGGGCGCTGGATTAGGTGATTTCTGAGGTACAAAATGATATGGTTTCTGCAGAAGTGGATGGAAGCCAAAGAGGCAGTGACCAGTAGGAGCACAGAAGACGCGGGGAAGCGAGGCGGACCTTTGTGCTCCTTGCCGTGATACTCGATCGTCAGGTGCAGCAGAGGGAGCAGGTTGTCGTCGTCCAGCAGCACCTTGTGTGCTGACTGCTGGAAGGCCACGTTCACGTCTGCGAGGAAGGACACGCGGGCTGAGTGGAGGCCTGGCTCTGTAACACATCCCAACTCCTGCTTTCCACCTCTCCCAGCCCGCCCATCTCTTAAGACAGAATACAGTAACCTGCACTTGCTTTTGCCTGACTAGCGAGTGTTCCTTCTCCGCTTGCTGATAAGCGCATCCTGGTTTTCCCTGGAGAATCACCTTGGCCGAGGACAATCCATGTAGCTCCAGCGGGGGCCGGTGACCCAGGAGTGATCTACCTTGTCACACTATGTTGTTTGGGGATATGAACATGACCCAAGCCAGGCCAATCCAGAGGTTCTATTCAGAGTCTGAAAGAGGGCAGCTCTTTTTTTTTTTTTTTTGAGATAAACAGAGTAAGATGTGAACTTGGTTACAGGCCATCTTGCTACCATATGGAGCAGGCCTGTTTCAGAAAAGCCAGAGGTGAAAGATGGAATGACACCAAGTCTTGAAGGCGTCAGGTAAGCCTTGGAACAAACTTCCTAGAGCCATTATACCTGTGACCTTTTCAATTATGAGAATCAATAAATTCTTTTTTCCTTTGCTTAAGTGAATCTGAATTGGAAGTGAATGGAATTTGAATTGAGTTTTCTGATATCTGCAACTTAGAAAGTCCTACATAAGTTCATTGGACATCTATTGTTTTATAGAGCTAGAAAAATGGTAACCCTGTTTTCACTCCTACCTCTCCCACACCTTTTTTGATACTCAGCCTTACCTAACTCTTATGTAGTTCAAATGGGAATGGTTAACACTTAATTGAACTTAATTTGACCGCACTGTGAGCCATGTGGGATTATCATTCCCCAGCGATCAAACCAGTGCGCCCTGCAGTGGAAGCTTGGAGTCTTAACCACTGGACTGCTGGGAAGTCCCAAGATAAGCAGATCTTCATGTCTGGCCCCTTTGATACAGGGACAGGTGTACAATCTAGTTGGACTAATCAGAACCCCTTCCCTGGTATCCTTTAACCTGCTACCAGAGAGACCGGGTTTGACTCCCCCATCAGACTGTGAAGTATGTTCCTGGGAGCTGGTAGCCATGTGGCCAGATGGAACTGGAAGGCCATCAGAGAGCACACATGAGGCACAGACAAGGTAGGAGAGACTCCTAGCAGTCCCTGGTTCTTAGGCCCAGCTACATCCCCATGGGCTTCCCCACTGGCCTGGCAGTGAAGAGTCCGCCTTTCAATGCAGGAGACACTGATGTGAGCCCTGGGTCAGGAAGATCCCCTGGACAAGGAAATGGCAACCTGCTCCAGTATTCCTGCCTGGAAAATCCCTTGGACAGAGGAACCTGGTGGGCTACAGTTCATGGGGGTCACTAAAGAGACATGACTTGGCGACTAAAACAACAACAAATATCCCTATCCCACTGGAGTTACAGATACAATAGCAAATAAACTCCCCCTTTCTACCGAGGTTATTTTCCATCATTGACAACCTAAAGAGTTCTAATACAACAAGGGGCAATAAGTCCCAATATGGGGACTTCCTGGGTGGTTCAGTGGTTAAGACTCTGCATTCCCAATGAAGGGACCAAGGGGTTTGATCAATCCTTGGTCAGGGAACTAAGTTTCAGCATGCTGCATGGCTGAGCCAAAACAAAACAAAATGTCCTAATATGTCCCTTAAGAGATATATGGCTACAGGGACTTCCCCAGTGGCCCAGTGGTTAAGACATTATCTTCCGATGCAGGGGATGCAGGTTTGATCCCCAGTCAGGGAGCTCAGATCCCACATGCCTCCTAGCTAAAAAACCAAAACATAAACAGAAGCAATACTGTCACAAATTCAATACAGATGTAAAGAAATATATTGCTATAATCTGATGAGATGAACAACTCATTTGAAAACTTATACCGCCTCTTCTAGGAAGGGTCACGAGCTGAGGTCGTTCCCAGTGACAACAGTGTGAGCATACCTGAGTAGCCTTCTGTCTTTGGAAACACTCTAACTCACCAGGCTACTTTAAATATGGACCAGCCCTAAATGGTTCAGCAGCAAGCTAAGCTATCCCCTACAACCCTGGGACTTCAGTAAGCTGGTAATTCTCAGGCCCCGGGGCGATTACCATGTTCAGTTACTGCAGTGGGTGGTGTTTTTAACATGTGCTGAGCTGTATCAATGAAGGCCTGAAACAGTTCTCCACGTCCCAGAAGGTAAAAGTCTTTAATGATCTGCAGAAAGAATTTCAATTTTTAATTCAGTAAACCAACAAGGCCAGGAGCTCTTCACTATCCTAAGAAATTTATGCATATAATTTCCAGTTTCATCTGTTTCGGCCCAGCTTACAAAAGGACATAGGGTTTTGGCATTTTAAAGGAGCATACTTGGTAATGGATGACTGGCGTGTCTTTGATATTATTTATTTAACAAAAAGACAGTTATGCCAGAAGAAAGCAAACAGCTGAAGCTTTGTGCTCGAGTAAATCTGTAGTGTTAGGTGGGGTTTGCCCACGTGGATGAGGACATAAAAAGCCACTCTAGAAGTCAGGATAGGCAACCAGTGCCCTCAGGAGAGGCTGGTGAATAAAGGCATTGTCCACAGGCATCATTTTAAGAGTTAAAAGAAGAGCTAAGCTATTACCTTCAGTTGACCCAGTAAATCTGACTCTTCCACCATCAGCTTCCAGAGATGCTGTGAGAAGAACCAACAATACAGGGTCAAAGTTTTGTTACAATGAAAACTCCTACAAAGAACAGTTCTGTGAAAATCCAGCAATGTATTAAAAAAAAGTATATATACCATGACCACACTGGGTTAATCCCAGGAATAAAAGTTTAAAAGGTAAGAAAATATGAGATGGAAATATGCTGGAATTAGATACTGGTAATGGTTGTACAACATTGTGAACATAAAAAAAACCAGTGAACCTGCCTATTTTTAAATGGCTCAAATGTTTAACTTTGGTGTGTTAAACACAAAAGTGGTTTTTTTTTCTCAAAAAAATTTAATATGAATATAATTTATTAAAGTTAATAACTTTAATAACTATAACTTATTAATAACTATATTAAAGATTAAAAAAGAAAAACCACAATTGCCTCAATAGATGCAGAAAAAGCATTTGATAAAACAACATCTGTTGATGATTTTAGAAAGAAAGCAAAGACTAGAAGGAAATCTTTTTATTCTGATAAAGGGTATATACCAAAATCCCACAGCAAACAACCTATTTCACAGCAAAACATTAGAAGAAATTCCTTTAAAGTTATTCAACATTGTACTTAAGACCTGCCAACATGGGGAAAAAAATTAATTGAAAAGGAAGAAACAAAACTGTTACTCTTGTCAGATAATATCACTACCTGCATAGAAAGTCCAAGAGAACTGACATAAACTATTAGAACTAGTAAGAGAATCTGGCAAGCTTGATGATGAATATAAAAAATCCACTGCATAGCCATTACCGCATCAAAGGATCCTGACTAGGATTTGCCCAGTGAAGTGATCAGTGTTGATTCCGTCAGTGTGCCTGGAATCTCTACCTGGGTGCTCATACTCTCTGCCCTCTCTCACTGGAACTGACACAGGCTAGGAACTGGCCTTTGGCCCTTCTCCAGTACACAATGCTAGACAAAACAGCTGACCTCCTCGGGATTGTAAGCACACGGGTCAAAATAATTAGATATGGGAGGTGTAAAAGAGGTACAACAGACTAGATAATACAAGGGCTTCCCAGGAGGCTCAGTGGTAAAGAATCTGCCTGCTAATGCAGAAGATGTGGGTTCAACCCCTGGGTCAGCAAGATCCCCTGAACAAAGAAATGGCAGCCCACTCCAATATTCTTGCCTGGAGAAACCCATGGACAGAGACTGGTGGGCTATATGCAGTTCAGAGGTCGCAAAGAGTTGGACACGACTGAGTGATTAAACAGCTGCTGCAGCTAACACTGGAGTTTCAGAACTGCCTGATAGGGTAGTATAGTTAGCCACCCAGATCTCCCCAGTAAGACTGAGACATTCCATGCACTAGCTGTTCAGAGTACTGTCTGTTACTGGTGCTTTTGCTGAAGGGAGCTACCATGCCCATTGTTCCCTCCTGAGGAACCAATTTCTGATAGATGCAGAGGAACAATGGCCTAGCCCTCTAACCTCAATTTGGGACATCTCTGGAAGGGCCATTCTAGCTTCAGAACTCTCCATAAGATTGGCCAAGGCTTCTGTTGCAACTGCATCACAGTTTGTTTGCTCTGGAATCCTAACCACTAGGTCACCAGAAACCCTCCTCTTTTTCCCCAAATTTAAAATACTCTTTATAAATATGCTTAAGAGGCAAGGATAACAGGAATATAAACAAAAATGAATCATAAAAAGAACCAAGACTTTGGATCAACTGAATATGCATATACAAAAAATTAAAACTTGATCTATACCTTGCACCATACAAAAATTAATTAGAAATGACTATGAACCTAATTGAAACTAAAAACTATAAGTTTTCTAAAAGAAAACAGTGAAAATTTTTGTGACACTGGGTTATGCAAAGGTTTCTCAGTCACAACACCAGAAGCATAAACCACAAAATAAACAGAAATTGATAAACTAGACTTAATCAACACCTTCTGCTCTTGACTGTTAAGAGAATGAAAAGATAAGTCACAGGGAGAAAATATTTGTAAGTCATGTACCTGATAAAAGACTTACAAATCCAGAATACATAAATCACTCAAAACTCAATAGTAAAAAAGTAAAGTTTTTCCAATAAAAAATGGAAAAAAGGTTTGGATGCTTCCAAGAAGATATATGGATGGTAAATAGAGAAATGAAAAAAATTTCAGGCTTCCAGTTCAAGATGGTGGAGCAGAAGGATGGATGCTCATCTCCTCCTGTGAGAGCACCAAAACTGCAAACAGCTATTAAACAACCATCAACAGGAGGACGCTGGAACCCACCAAACAAAGATGCCCCACGTCCAGAGATAAGAAGCTGCAGAGAGACGGCAGGAGGGGCACAGTCACAATAAAATCAAATCCCATATCCACCAGGTGGGTGACCCATAAACTGGAGAACAGTAATACCAAAGAAGTTCTCCCACTGTTGTGAAGTTTCTGACGTCAAGCTTCCCAGCCTGGGGATCCAACAAAGGGACTGGGAATCCCCAGGGAATCTGGCCTTGAGGGCCAGAGGGATTTGATTATAGAACTTCCATAGGACTGGGGGAAACAGAGACTCCAGTCTTGGAGGGCCTCCTGCAGAGGGTCGGTTGGCAGGGGCTCACCACAGGGACAGGGGCACTGGAAGGTCCCCCTTGGCGAAAATGCTCTTGGAGTTCACCATTAACCTTATCATAGAGCTCAAGGCAGGGTCACCTCAGGTCAAACAACTATCAGGGAGGGAGTACAACCCCATCAATCAGCAGATAACCGGATTAAAGCTTTACTGAGCCAGGCCCAGCCCACCAGAGCAAGACCCAGGTTTTCCCACCACCAGTCCCTCCCATCAGGAAGATTATACAAGCCATTTAGCCTACTCCATCAGAAGGCAGAAGAAGCACGCAGCAGCACAGTCTCACAGTGGCTAAAACAAAAACCATATTACAGAAAGTTAATCATGATGAAAAATCAGACAGTTATGTTCCAGATGAATGGACAAGATAAAACCCCAGAAAAACAACTAAATGAAGTGGAGATAAGCAACCTTCCAGAAAAATGATTCAGAATAATGACAGTGAAGATGACTGAAGATCTTTGAAAAAGAATGGAGGCAAAGACTGAAAAGATGAAAGGAATGTTTATCAAAGACCTAGAAGAAGTAAAGAAAAAACAAACATGAATAATACACTAGAAGGAATCAACAGCAGAATAACCGAGGCAGAAGAATGAATAAATGACCTGGAGGACAGAATAGTGGAAATCACTGCCGCAGAACAGGATATAGAAAAAAGAATGAAAAGAAATGAAGACAGCCTAAAGACCTTTGGGACAATAAATGCACCAGTATTTGCATTACACTGGTCCCAGTATTCGCATTATACGGGTCCCAGAAGGAGAAGAGAAAGAAAGGACCAGAGGAAAATATTTGAAGAAATAATAGCTGAAAACTTCCCTAACATGAGAAAGGAAATAGTCAACCATGTCCAGGAAGCAGAGTCCCAGGCAGGATAAACCCAAGGAGGAACACACCGAACACACATAGTAATCAAACTGACAAAAATTAAAGATAGAGATAAAATACTAAAAACAAGAGGAAAATGGCAACATAAAAGGGAACTCCCATCAGTCTATCAACTGATTTCTCAACAGAAACTCTATAAGCCAGAAGGGAATGCCATGACATATTTAAAGTGGTGAAGGGGGTGGCTCATCCACTCCCTGTGGCTGAGCTGTGGTTCAGCTGGTAAAGAATCTGCCTGCAGTGTGGGAGACTTAGATTCAATGCCTGGGTTGGGAAGATCCCCTGGAGAAGGGAAAGGCTACCCACTCCAGTATTCTGGCCTGGAGAATTCCATGGACTGTATAGTCCATGGGGTCACAAAGAGTTGGACATGACTGAGCAGCTTTCACTTTAACCTACAATCAAATGACTGAAAAAAAAAAAGAATAAAGTGATGAAGGGGAAAAACCTACAACCAAGAATACTCTACCCAGGAAGACTCTCCTTCAGATCTGATAGAGAAATTAAGGCTTTCCAGACAAACAAAAGTTAAGAGAATTCAGCACCACCAAACCAGTTTTACAACATATGCTAAAGGAACTTCTATAGGCAAGAAACACAAGAGAAGGAAAAGACCTACAGAAAATAAACCCCAAACAATGAAGAAGATGGTAATAGGATCATACATACCGATAATTATCTTAAATGTAAATGGACTAAATGCACCAACCAAAAGACACGGACTGGTTGAGTGGATGAAAAGGTGTATGTCTGCACTTCTACTTACCGCATCACCCTGCTTGACCTCCACAAATTGTATGTAATTATTTTATATTGTTAAGTTAATCATGCTGGCCTGGATAAAGCACAAGCTGGAATCAAGATTGACGGGAGAAATATCAATAATCTCAGATATGTAGATAATACCACCCTTATGACAGAAAGTGAAGAAGAACTAAAGAGCCTCTTGATGAAAGTGAAAGAAGAGAGTGAAAAAGTTGCTTAAAAGTCAACATTCAGAAAACTAAGATCATGGCATCTGGTCCCATCACTTCATGGCAAATAGATGGGGAAACAATGGAAACAATGAGAGACTTTATTTTTGGGGGCTCCAGAATCACTGCAGATGGTGACTGCAGCCATGAAATTTAAAAGATGCTTGCTCCTTGGAAGGAAAAGTATGACCAACCTAGAAAGCATATTAAAAAGCAGAAACATTACTCTGCCAACAAAGGTCCATCTAGTCAAAGCTATGGTTTTTCCAGTAGTCATGCATGGATGTGAGAGTTGGACTATAAAGGAAGTTGAGCACCAAAGAATTGATGCTTTTGAACTGTGGTGTTGGAGAGGACTCTTGAGAGTCCCTTTGACTGCAAGGAGATGCAACCAGTCCATCCTAAAGGAAATCGGTCCTGAATATTCACTGGCAGGACTGATGCTGAAGCTGAAACTCCAAAACTCTGGCCACCTGATGCGAAGAACTGACTCACTGGAAAAGACCCTGATGCTGGGAAAGCTTGAAGGCAGGAGGAGAAGGGGGCAACAGAGGATGAGATGGTTCGATGGCGTCACCGACTCAATGGACATGAGTTTGAGTAAACTCCAGGGAGGCCTGGCGTGCTGCAGCCCATGGAGTTGCAAAGAGTCAGACACGACTGAGCAACTGAACTGCTGACCTGAAGAAGGTGTAGAGAAGGAGCCCTGTCGTCAATGGGAGTGTAAACTGATACAGCCACTACCGTGAACATTATGGAGATCCCTAAAAAACTAGGAATAAAGCTACCATATGACCCGGCAATCCTACTACCGGGCGTATACCCTGAGAAAGCCATGATTCTAGAAGACACATTTAGAGAAGAGCCAACACCTATCTTACTCAAACTCTTCCAGAAAATTGCAGAAGGTAAACTTCCACACTCATTCTATGAGGCCACCATCACCCTAATTCCAAAACCAGACAAAGATGCCACAAAAAAAGAAAACTACAGGCCAATATCACTGATGAACATAGATGCAAAAATCCCTAACAAAATTCTAGCAAACAGAATCCAACAACATATTAAAAAAAGCATACATCATGACCAAGTGGGCTTTATCCCAGGAATGCAAGGATTCTTTAATATCCGCAAATCAATCAATGTAATACACCACATTAACAAATTGAAAGATAAAAACCATATGATTATCTCAATAGATGCAGAAAAAGCCTTTGACAAAATTCAACATCCATTTATGATTAAAACTCTCCAGAAAGCAGGAATAGAAGGAACATACCTCAAGATAATAAAAGCTATATATGACAAACCCACAGCAAGCATCACCCTCAATGGTGAAAAATTGAAAGCATTTCCCCTGAAATCAGGAACAAGACAAGGGTGCCCACTCTCACCACTACTATTCAACATAGTTTTGGAAGTTTTGGCCACAGCAATCAGAGCAGGAAAAGAAAGAAAAGGAATCCAGATAGGAAAAGAAGAAGTGAAACTCTCGCTGTTTGCAGATGACATGATCCTCTACATAGAAAATCCTAAAGACTCTACCAGAAAATTACTAGAGCTAATCAACGAATACAGTAAAGTTGCAGGATATAAAATTAACACACAGAAATCTCTTGCATTCCTATACACTAACAATGAGAAAACAGAAAGAGAAATTAAGGAAACAATACCATTCACCATTGCAACAAAAAGAATAAAATACTTAGGAGTATATCTACCTAAAGAAACAAAAGACCTATACATAGAAAACTATAAAACACTGATGAAAGAAATCAAAGAGGACACAAACAGATGGAGAAATATACCGTGTTCATGGATTGGAAGAATCAATATTGTCAAAATGGCTATACTACCCAAAGCAATCTACAGATTCAATGCAATCCCTATCAAACTACCAACGGTATTTTTCACAGAACTAGAACGAATAATTTCACAATTTGTATGGAAATACAAAAAACCTCGAATAGCCAAAGTAATCCTGAGAAAGAAGAATGGAACTGGAGGAATCAATCTGCCTGACTTCAGACTATACTACAAAGCCACAGTCATTAAGACAGTATGGTACTGGCACAAAGACAGAAATATAGATCAATGGAACAGAATAGAAAGCCCAGAGATAAATCCACGAACCTATGGTCACCTTATCTTTGACAAAGGAGGCAAGGATATACAATGGAAAAAAGACAACCTCTTTAACAAGTGGTGCTGGGAAAACTGGTCAACCACCTGTAAAAGAATGAAACTAGAACACTTTCTAACACCATACACAAAAATAAACTCAAAATGGATTAAAGATCTAAATGTAAGACCAGAAACTATAAAACTCCTAGAGGAGAACATAGGCAAAACACTCTCCGACATAAATCACAGCAGGATCCTCTATGACCCACATCCCAGAATTTTAGAAATAAAAGCAAAAATAAACAAATGGGACCTAATGAAACTTAAAAGCTTTTGCACAACAAAGGAAACTATAAGCAAGGTGAAAAGACAGCCCTCAGATTGGGAGAAAATAATAGCAAACGAAGCAACAGACAAAGGATTAATCTCAAAAATATACAAGCAACTCCTCCAGCTCAACTCCAGAAAAATAAATGACCCAATCAAAAAATGGGCCAAAGAACTGAACAGACATTTCTCCAAGGAAGACATACGGATGGCTAACAAACACATGAAAAGATGCTCAACATCACTCATTATCAGAGAAATGCAAATCAAAACCACAATGAAGTACCATTACACACCAGTCAGGATGGCTGCTATCCAAAAGTCTACAAGCAATAAATGCTGGAGAGGGTGTGGAGAAAAGGGAACCCTCTTACACTGTTGGTGGGAATGCAAATTAGTACAGCCACTATGGAAAACAGTGTGGAGATTTCTTAAAAAGCTGGAAATAGAACTGCCATATGACCCAGCAATCCCACTTCTGGGCATACACACCCAGGAAACCAGATCTGAAAGAGACACGTGCACCCCAATGTTCATCGCAGCACTGTTTATAATAGCCAGGACATGGAAGCAACCTAGATGCCCATCAGCAGATGAATGGATGAGGAAGCTGTGGTACATATACACCATGGACTATTACTCAGCCATTAAAAAGAATTCATTTGAATCAGTTCTAATGAGATGGATGAAACTGGAGCCCATTATACAGAGCGAAGTAAGCCAGAAAGATAAAGACCATTACAGTATACTAACACATATATATGGAATTTAGAAAGATGGTAATGATAACCTTATATGCAAAACAGAAAAAGAGACTCCTATGTATAGAACAGACTTGTGGACTCTAGGAGAAGGCGAGGGTGGGATGTTTCAAGAGAACAGCATCGAAACATGTATATTATCTAGGGTGAAACAGATCACCAGCCCAGGTTGGGTGCATGAGACAAGTGCTCGGGCCTGGTGCACTGGGAAGACCCAGAGGGATCGGGTGGAGAGGGAGGTGGGAGGGGGGACCGGGATGGGGAATACATGTAAATCCATGGCTAATTCATTTCAATGTATGACAAAAACCACAGCAATGATGTAAAGTAATTAGCCTCCAACTAATAAAAATAAATGAAAAAAATAAATAAATAAAAGACACATTTACCCCAGTGTTTATAGAAGCACTACTTACAATTTTCAGGACACAGAAGCAACCTAGGTGTCCATCAACAGACGAATGGATAAAGAAGATACAGTACATATAGACAATGGAATATTACTAAGCCATAAAAGAGAATGAATTTGAGTCAGCTATGCTGAAGTGGATGAACCTAGAGCCTGTTATACAGATTGAAGTGAGTCAGAAAGAGAAAAATATATATTAATGTATATATATGGAATCCAGAAAAGCAGCACTGATGAACCCATCTTTAGAGAAGGAATGGAGACCGAGACAGAGAGAATGGACTTGGGGACACAGTGGGGAAAGGAGAGGGTAGGACGAAGTGAGAAAGTAGCACTGACATGCATATCGTACCACGTGTAAAACAGAGAGCTAGTGGGAAGCCGCTATGTAACACAGGGAGCCCAGCCTGGCGCTCTGAGATTACCCAGAGGGGTGGGGTGGGAGGCGGATAGAGAGGCTCAAGAGGGAAGGGGTGTATATAATCATGGCTGATTCTCGCTGTTATAGGACAGAAACTCACACAACATTGTAAAGCGATTATTTTCCAATTAAAAAATTTTTTAAATGCTGGAGTGCAAAAAAAGGAAAAAAAAGAATGGAAAAATATTACTTGTTCTGCCTTCCTATGATAGATTATCCTAAGGCCATTACTAAAATAATAAGTAAGGCACTAAATTTAGAATCAGTGGGTTCCCTGGAGTCATTGCCGACTATACAATGGACTCAAAAGGCTGTCCGAAATGTAAACCAAGATCTTCCTTTATTACTAATTAACTGACTAGCGAACAATCAAACTCCTGTCAGGTGGGAAAAGGCTAAGGCAGTTCCACCTCTATTATTAAAACAGAGAGAATGCTTTTGTTTTCTACTTCCTGCCCTTCAACTCTCTCAAACACTTCTCTCCCAGCTAAGTTCTAATCACACCAAGCGGAAACAAATCAAGTACTCAAGTTCTAGGACTAGTCTATTTTCTTCCAAAGAAAATATACCAAGAGGGACTTCCCTGGTGGCCCAATGGTTAAGAATCTGCCTGCCAATGCAGCAAACTAAGATGCCACATGCCTCAGGGCAACTAAGCCCCTAAGCAGCCACCACTACTGAAGCCCAAGAGCCCCAGAGCCTGGGCTCCACAAGAAAGCAGTCCCTGCTCACCGCAGCTAGAGAAAGCCTGAGTGCAGCAACGAAGAACTCATGCACCACAACGACGACCAAGTGCGGTCAATTAGATACATAAAATAAACTACATATATATTAAGACAGACCAACCTCGGCCACGGTACTGCGAATACGATCCACCAGCTGCTCAAAGTCCACCAGGCTAAAGAGGGGCTGCTGCTTGAGACGGTGCAACTCTGCAGCAAAAGTGTCTTCCTGGTTCTTCAGGATGGATCCTTAGGACAGGAAACCACTCCAGGTCAACGGGAGACGGGCTCTCTTCCCGGGGCTGCCACGCCTTCACCTGCTCCTCGGGCAAGCATGTACGTCCTGGCTGTGCTGGACGTGAAGGTCCCTAGCCACCCACTCTGCCCAGGCCGACTCTGGGTCCAGCATGATGTCAACTATGCCTTTGAGGATGGGGGTACCTCAAGCAAGGATACTCCTACCTTTCCTGGTCAGGTTTACATTTTGATTTTCGAACATCTGGACAGACTCTCCCACAAAGAGGATTTTTTCAGCAACCCTCGCTGGAATGTAGGACGGCAGAATCTCCACTCGCAGAGAAAACTGCTTGAGAGAGGGCGCCAGCATGTTCTCCTCCTCTATCAGGCGCTGGGCAGGAAAAAGCCACATCAGAGAGAACGTATGAAGACAGAAAGGGGCGATAAGGGGGTATCCGGCAGCTCTCCCAACCCACGAGTCAGTTTCTGGAAGCAGGGACTTTAAATCTGAACTTGCATAATTGTTAAATCACCAGTGCTAGAGAAAGACATTCCATCTTTAGACAGAAAGATAGCACGGTGGAAATAACAGTGGTTTTATTAACATTAGGATTTTCGTTCTCACTCTGCCTTGAGTACTGTGTAAAAGCTTGTGCACTAGGTCTGGAACTCAGTCTTCTTGTTTGTACCATGGAATAACTGATCTGTTTGTTTCCAGGTCTGCATGTCTGTGATTTACTATCTTGTGCATGTCTGTTCTGCCCAGCTCTTTACAGAGGCCTGAGTTATATAGCCATGTGGTTCTCACAACCTGGCTCCTGGGCCAGTACCATTGGCCTCATGTGGGAGCTTGTTAGAAATGCAAAATTTCAAGCCCATCCCCAGAGCTACAGAAAACCTGGGGGGTGAGGCCCAGCAGTCCATGTTTTAATAAGCTCTCCAGGTGATTCTGGGCACTCTACAGTCTGAGAACCACTAATGTTTTAATAAGCTCTCCAGGTGATTCTGGGCACTCTACAGTCTGAGAACCACTAATCTAGCCCGTGAAGTCCCAGATTCTTGCTGTCTAACCAACCAGGTCCCTGACTTGCTGCTAATTTGACCCTTATCCAGGGTATGGATAAGGAACCCCAAGCTCCATCTCCTGACTTTGATCTCTGCTGTCCACCCTTTCAATTTTGGGCTTGGGTGCTGGTGTGCCTCAGGGCACCACCCAAGACCCTTTTTTCCTCTCTTTATCCACACTCTTCCTAAACAATCACATCTTCTGAGGCTGAACTGATCACAACAGGTATTTTTAATCTTTCTGCATCACAGGACTCTCTGCAAGTATAAAAGCAATGGATCTTCCAGAAGAACATGGAAACATACACTTCACAGAACCTCTGAAGTCACCTGTGGACCTCAGATTAAAAACTTTCATATGCTGATAACTCCTAAAACTTTATCTTTAAGCCAGACTGTTCTCATCAGCTCCAGGCTCAGCCCACTGGTCATTTCCTACAAGTATCTCAGTGTGTCGAGAGTTGGACACATGTCCTCCCCTGCCCTCTCCCATCAACAATCCATCCCATCAGCAATCCACACTCCTTATCATCACCACTCGCCTATCACTAAAGGCAGGGACTTGGGCATCATCCCTGATGCTTCCCTCTGGACCCTTAGCCAATCAATCACCACAATCTGCCTGTTCCACCTCCTAAATATTGCTGAAGTCTCTTTCTTCTTCAGCATATTTACTGTTCTCATCCTTGGTGCAGGCCACCATTATTTTTCAGCTAATGTCCCCAACAGGCTTCACCGATGGCTCAAACAGTAAAGAATCTGCTTGCAGTGCAGGAGACACTGGAGACTTGGGTTTGATCCCTGGCTCGGGAAGCTCCCCTGGAGAAGGAACTGGCAACCCACTCTAGTATACTTGCCTGGAGACTCCCATGGACAGAGAAGCCTTGCAGGCTACAGTCCAAGGGGGTCGAAAAGAGTAGGACATGTCTGAAGCAACTGAGCATATATAATGTCCCAAACATTCTCCTAACTACTGTACTTGCTGCTAATCTTAATTTTTTAAAAAACGTTTTCCCGCAGTTTCTAGAGTGACCTATCATGAAGTCTAATGTAACATACAGAGGTGTGTTAACCTGTTGCCTAAAATTCTTCGTGGTTCCCAGCTCTTTTCAGGCTCAAGTCAGAATTCCTTCCCATCATTTACAAGGGTTTTCATGATCTTATCTCTGCTCATCTCAAAAGCTTCACTGGCTGCCACTTCCCACATCCCCTCCAACTGTCCCTTACAGTCTATATTTCAGTCTTTATTTACTTGACCATCTCAACTGAATTACTAATGGTTCCCCAAATGATCCATGTCCTTCATGGCCTCTGTACTCTACATAGCCCTTCCCTCTGCCTGGAATTTTTTTTTTTGGCCATGTGGCATATGGGATCGAAGTTCCCATCAAACCTCCACCCCCTACACTGGAAGCTCAGTCTTAACAACTGAACCACCAGAGAAGTCGTTCTCCCAAACTCTTCGCACTGAAGACATATATTCCACTCTAGCTACTCTGCGTCGTTCCCAGAGTACCCACGCTCGCCCGTCCAGAGCACTTCGTGTGGTCTAGTGTCTTCCACTAACTGGGAGCTCTTCAAGGACAGGGACTGCTACATTTTACTTGTTTATGCAGCTGCGGCACCTGCAACAGTTGTGCCTGGCATATAATAGGCATTCAGTAAAATGTAACAGGATAAATGAATGGATAAGAACAACACAGGACTTTGGGGAGGCTAATCAAAACTAACACAATGTAAAAGCTCTGGGTACCAACAAGACTACCTAAAGGGACAAGACTTATTATTAGTCTCCTCAATGCATATACCAGGAAAAGGGGAAACAAAAGGAATCTCACAAATGTATTTTCTACTTTAGTCTCACACTGTTAGGCATTAAGTATTAAGCTAAGCCGACTGTCTACATCTACAGAATTTATGGACCGTGCCCAGGCCATGATGAGCTGGGGCAAGTCCCCGGAAGGCCATCTAGCTGTCGACCTGCCCAGCTTCCGGCAGGAGCAGGGTGGCCGCCGGCTGGGCTCTCACCAAGTCCTGGAGCTCCCTCAGCTGTTTTCCGGTCAGTCCCCCAATGCCCAGGTCCTCCTCATCCTCTTCTGGCTGGGCGCTGACATTCCCGGAAGACGGGCCCTGCTTGATAAAGAACTCCTCGTGCTGATCCAAGAGGAGCCCGTGTAACATCCAGGCTGACAGCTGCTTATACATGACCCCATGACACACGGCCAGGATCCTGAGTGGAGAGGACAGCAACAGCCTTAGAAGTTCACGTAGAGGACATCAGCACAGACGGCGTGCTTTCAGCTGCTACAGGATAAACAGAGGCCTGAGAGTTTGGTCGGTCAGAAGGGACAGGACCGATTAAGGTAAAAATAATGTGCTAGTTTAACTTCAATCTCTGTGGATGAACTAAGCAGTTACATTTCCAGACTTGTAGCCTATATACTGAAGTCTGAAATGCTCACTAAGGGTTCTGATCGTCTTTTAGAAGAGGCACATTTTCTTCCCTCGAGTAAAATAGGTTTCAAAATGGATGATTCCTGTTGAAATTAAATGGACTTACAGGAGTCTCTTGGAGAAGGCAATGGCAACCCACTCCAGTACTCTTGCCTGGAAAATCCCATGGATGGAGGAGCCTGGTAGGCTGCAGTCCATGGGGTCGCTATGAGTCAGACATGACTGAGCGACTTCACTTTTACACACTGGAGAAGGAAATGGCAACCCACTCCAGTGTTCTTGCCTGGAGAATCCCAGGGATGGGGGAGCCTGGTGGGCTGCCATCTATGGGGTCACACAGAGTCGGACATGACTGAAGTGATTTAGCAGCATAGGAGTCTCTTTTTGGCTAACAGTATTAAGTTTTTACTTTTGTTGGAATCACATAAGGAGAGTAGATTCAGTATGTGAGAGGTAGATATACCTGAAAAAGTATTATCCTACAAAATGCAGAAAGGTTGTTGGAGAACGGGATAGTCACACAGTCTCAAGAGATCACACTTCAGAAAACATATCAATGACAAAGCAGAAAATGTTCCTCTAAAACAGACCTGGTGGAAAACACCTAAACCGAGTGATAAGCCTTTACACCAGTTATGGGACAGACTTGCTTTGTGTGCATTCTGATACGCTGTAACAGGAAATAATACGACCTCAGTAGTATCCTTGCCAAAAATGTTCAATCTGAATCTACTCATGAGGAAATAATCAGAAAAATCCAGACTGCAACATTCTACAGGAAGCCTTTGATCATATTCCACATTTATTTAATAGTTGCAGTCATAAGATACATATAATTTTGTATCCTTTCTTCAGTTAGTATTATAAAAATATTTTTACATGTTATTTCAGAACTTGTAATTTTAATTGCTTTATAGTCTTTCAAGTGAATATATCTTTATTCAGCATTCTATTGCTGGTAATTTTCTCATTTCTTAATGTAGCAGACAACATTGCAATGAATAATGATTGTGTATATGGTTATTTTCTTCTTTCGGATAATTTTGTTAGAGTAAAATTCTTAAGAGGATTATAAAGCTACTCAAAATACACATGTTTAGACACAGCTAAGCATCATCTGGAATAGTTAATGCCAATTCTCTAAGGATAGTGAGATCCAAAATTGAAGGACTGCCTCAAGGTCACCTAGGCAGCTACATCCTAGCCTGGACACTCAACACCTTAGAATCCCCTTTCTGTGGTTTCTGCATCATCGTAAGGCTTACACGGGCTCCTGTACTCACTGGGCTTTTGCATCCTGGTCATAACTTTCCCCAGAGGGGAACCCGAGATAACCTGGAAACAGAACTTGGGCCAAGTCAGGTCACTTAACCACCCACTCCCCGCTCCCTACCCCAGTGAAGCCACGACTTACTTTTCTAGTGCACTGCGAACAGGAGGCAAACCTCCACAGCTGTGTTTGTATACTGTTTCCAGGATCTGACAGCCGTGAATCTGTGGAAAATACAGCCTTATCAAGCTGAATTCCATTTTAATAGTTCATATAACACAATCTCATATTCTATACTCAATCCAGAGGGCAAAATCCAGGAAGAGTGAGGATAAACTCCTAAGATCTATGCACAGTTCCAATTCTGACTCCAATTCCAGTGTGTGTGTATGGGTGGGGCGGGGTGGGGGGAGGGGAGTCCCCCCACACCAGGCAACTCTGTGACACCAGCTGGGGTCCTACAACATAACTCAATCCCTGGGTTCCCCTAATTTGCTACAGCAGCTCACAGAACTCAGGAAACCCGTTTATTCACTAGATTATCAATTTATCAGGGAGGATACGCCAGGATACGAATCAACACCCAGATGAAAGGATACATACAGCGAGGTCCCGAACAAACAAGCTTCATGGGGCACGGTGGCACACAGAGGCACTCTGGTTCACCAATCTGGAAGCTCTCCAAACGCCATCCTTTTGGGTTTTATGGAGCCTTCCCGGCTCTCTGCCCTCTGCCCGCTTTTCTCGCCAAAGGTCCGGTGGGAAACGTGGGACTGCAAGTTCTAACCTTCCAATCACAGGGTTGGTTCCCCTGGCAACCAGCCCATATTTTGGTGTTTTCCCAAAAATCACCTGGTTAACAAGCTCAGGTGTGGTAAACAGGGGTTTGTTATGCATATCAAGATGCCTTTATTGCTCTTATTACTTAGGAAATTCTGAGGTTTAGGACCTCTGTGCCAGAAATGGGACAAAGACCAAATCTATTTTTCTTATTATAAATCACAACATCACAATAGTTGTTCTTAAGTATGGACCCTCCACCTCCCTTTCCTTCCCCAGCCCGCACCATCCCCCAGCAGCATCTGCATCACCTGGAAACTTTTAAGAGCTACAAATTCTTGGACCTCATTCCAGACCTGCTGAATCAGGATCTCTGGCGTGGGGCCCAGCCATCTGCTTTTAACAATCAGCTCCAGGTGATTCTAATGCACAATGAAGTTTAAGAACTACTGCCCTAAGGAAACCAGAATCATTTCGAAATTCCAAGAAAAGAGGTAAAGAAAGCTCTTTACTTCAGATTAAGGCCTAATTCAGACTACTTACAAGGTACACACTTTTCTAAAAACCTGCTTCCTCTCTCAAAGTCCTTTTGCCTCTATTTTTTTAAAACCGCTTTACTGAGGTATACTTTATATACCATAAAATTCACCTAAGTGTACTTTCAACAATTTTTAGTAAATTCACAGCATTGTGCAACTGTCAACATGCCCCAGGTTTGTAACATTTCCATCACTCTAAAAGGACCCCCTTGTGTCTGTGTGCACCCACCTGTCCGCACCCACAGCCTCATTTACTTAAGAGCCTTAGCTCAGCTTCCTACCACCTCCCCGGCAGAGAGGAAGCTTCGCCCATCTGCAATCCCCCTACTCGTTTTCCACTCTCCTTCCTGTGGCCAATGGGAGCTCAGAGTCAACTGAGATGTGCAGCCGTGCCTGGACTCTTGCGCTAACCCCACTTACCTAGAAGGTCCCCTCCAGTTTGGGGAGACAGTTTAGAGAGTAGTTAACAGCACAGTCCGGAGTCAGACAGCCCTGGGTTTATGCCCTAGCTGTACCAGTTACTGCTTTCTGTGTGACACTGAGGGGCTCCCAGGTGGTGCGGTGGTAAAGAATCGGACCGCCAATGCAGGAAGAGTAAAGAGACGCAGGTTTGATCCCTGGGTTGGGAAGATCCCCTGGAGGAGGAAATGGCGACCTGTACAGTGTTCTTGCCTGGGAAATTTCACGGACAGAGGAGCCTGGCGGGCTACAGTCCATGGGATTGCAAAGAACTGGACATGAATGAGCAACTGAGCATGCACGCACGCATGCATATGTGACCCGAATTATATTCCTTAACCTATTTGATTCCTTAGGAGATTGACCTTGATAATATATGTGAAGCACTTCGCACAGTGTCTGGTATACAACAAGTGCACAATAAAAGCTTGATGTTATTTGGTGAGGGCAACCAGCTTTGCAGGGTCAGAGAGCACTGTCCCCAATGACTTTGCTGCCACAGAACAAATGCAGCAGAGTGTAAGTTTCTAGATGTATACAGCAAAAAAAAAAAAAGAAGTAGCAATCTGGCAAACTGACTAGTTAACTAGTTATATTCAAGGCACAAATATACCAGCTTAAAAACAGGAATAAAGGAAACATATTTAATCTATTTGTCCTTTCTCATCCAATTATGAACCAGCAGATTCTTCTAATGTAAAAATCTCAAAGCATCTCAGAATTATTAATTAATCCTACTCAGAAAAGACATTCTCTGGACACTAGAGACCCTCTTCTCAATGCATATGATAAAAACTTGTGATAAGAGGCATATTTAACTAATGAACAGCTGGGTTTCACCCAATGACTTAACAATGCTCAGAAAGCTGCCAGCACCCTAATAATAAACTATTACCTTCTTTCTAAGGATTAATTTTCTGCTTCTCAAGATCCACATCCAAAAGTTCTGAATCCTTAGTGTAAAAAACTCTCACCTTCAAGTATCCATAGCTTTATCCTCCTACCCAGCAGCATTCTTGGGGACATCTGTTACCATTTCCCCCAGCTTTTGGACCAGGAGATGCTTAAGGGCAGGGTCATAACTTATTTTTGTTTTGCTGATACTTAGCATGATACTCAAGCAGATAATAAATGAATAAATAAATAAAAACTACTGAAAACTAGGGTCTTCAAAAAGGAATGTAAAGGAAAATGAATTATGATTATGTCCTTGGTGCTTACCCTAGCAAAAGGAAAAAGTACTCACCTTTTGACTTTTAATTTGTTCTACTACAACCATCACAGAGGGGAAAAGGAGCTGGAACTACAAAGTAGAGAATGATTAGGATGGTATATATTCAAGCACAAGGAAAAAAAATTAACTCAGGAAATGCCTTTGTTTCTAACCAGTCCCACTTATCATAAAGATGGCAATACCACAGAACAGTCAAGATCCTAAGGCAATGTGACATGGGGGTTGGCTGTAGATAGAAAGAGAATGGCAGATACAAGCAGTTTCCATGTCTGAGGCGCATAATTGTTAATACTGAGACCAGTGTAGAGCATTAACATCAGAGAGTAAGTTTTCATTAAATGTGGAACTCTTCAAACAGCTCTGATCTAGGAAAACATATGAAATAACAAATGCTGGGCTCTGAAACAAAGAAGGAAAAAAGTTCTCAAAAATAATATCCTGAGTTAGAGTATTCCAATGATATCAACAGATTCCAAAGCATTTTGTTACCTGATCTAAGGAGTAATTGACATGTGATATGGAGAGGTGGGGGTCAGCCAGGAACTGCAACAGAAAACACTGTGATTAGGGCTCCATATATAGTATCTTGAGTCTATTTCATCTGTGAAAACTAGAAGGGAATCTAAGAGTAGGCTTAGGGTTCATTTTAGGGTACTGAGAATTGATCATTTACAGAAGATAATTAATTCTGATTTTCTGATGATAACAAAACCAAAGCTAGGGCTCTTCTAAACTCACTCAGGAACCTCAGCTGTGATCCACCTGCCACTCTGACCATGGCTTGGGCAGTCACAGAGAACAAACTTACCCTCCAGCCATGCAGAAAATGGCTCATTCTTCGCTACCTGACCATATCAGAGGACATCTCAGATCAGGAACATGCCCTTATCTGCAGTCCCAGAGGTGTGGCTTCCCATGTCTCTTCTCACCTCTTGCTCCAAATCAAGTAGTGCTTGGCGGTAAGGCTGCAAAACTGAATCCAGCCCCGTGCAGAAGGCCCTGAGGTAGATTCCATGTGACCCACCTTGGCTCTGCTGAGATGGATGGTGATCCTGAAATCAACAAAGAGAAGTCAGCTTTTCAGCTCACAGCCTGAAACCGGAGGAAGACATTATCCTTTATTAATGGCATTATTTTTGCTTAAATAATTTCCAATCAAAATAGTGTTTCCATGAGAGGAAAATCTGACTGAAGAGACAGATTTTGAGTCCTGACCTTTTAAAATGTGATAATGTTTTAATTTCCAAATGGCTCAGATTTTACAAACTGGGTATTCTTCCACATTGTCACTAGATTTTTTTCAACAACTCAGTTCTAACCTTGTAACTTCTGGCTTAAATCCCTTTGGTGGTTTCCTCTTACCCAAGAATAATATCTAAACTCCTCTATATAGCATCCAGTGACTTCTGTATTCTGGCCCTTACCCTCTCTCCAAAATTATTTCACTGCTTTCAACTTCACATCCTCATTTCCAAATTAATCAACAGTTCCCCGAATGTGCCCTATTTCTTTCTCGCACCTCCATGAATCTGAGTGTGTTCTGCTTATAACTGTGTGTTCGTGCTTGTGACAAACACCTACTCTTCCTGCGGGACACAACTCAAACATCTTTTCCCTGCAAAGCCCTTTCTAACTCTCACCAGAGAATCAACAGCTCCCCTCTGTTGCTTTTATAGCATCTCTATTTAGTGCTGGAATTGAACTTTTGATTATTTGTTCCCTCACTAGACCAATAGCTTCATGAAGCAAGGGCTCACACTTCGTCCATCTTTGCATTTCATTTCCTAGCACAATTCTTTGAAGAGAGGGTAACTATTTACTGAATAAATAAAATGACCTCAGTCCTCCTCCTAACAACCCTTCTCCTGTCTCACATGGCAATTCATTAAAAACACGAATCTGATAGCCAACACGGGAAGTTAGAAGAAGCTCACCAAGAGGCTATTTACAAACATTGTTTGTCTTTCAAGAAAGCTGCAGTTTTTCTATAAAACCATTCTTCTTCTACATGGGGGAAGTGCAGCTAACAGTTGACTGGAGGCCATGATGACTAGCCTTTCTGGGTGGTCAGGCTCTGGTGGCAGTAGATACCATAGGAGAATTAAGCAAAAAATGTGGTAGGAAGCTTGGGCTCAAGGGTTATAAGGCACAGTGTAGCCAGAGGATGCCACAAAGGATACTAGCAAATTCCTGGAGATAAATGTTCACAGCTATAATAAGAACATGGGAATAGGGTGAAACAGACCAGACAGGCTTACAGCCAGGCAGCTTTTTTTTTTGATCTTGTATCATTCCAGAGAAGTGAATGTCTTCATTTATTACAAAATGAAAGAGAAATTGCTTTTTATTTTTCAAAAAATAAATAAATAAGAGGTACTACAAATAGCTTTAGGAATTAGAAAAGTAGGAATTCACATATAAGATTCACGTAGTCACGTGAATACAGAAGAGGTTAGGTTTTCTTAAAGTGATATATTGTTGTTAGTCACTAAGTCATGTCTGACTCTTTTGCGACCCCACGGATTGTAGCCTGCAAGGCTCCTCTGTCCACAGGATTTCCCAGGTTAAGAATACTGAAGCAGGCTGCCATTTCCTCTCTAGGGGATCTTTCCAACCCAGGGATGGAATCCGCATCTCCTGCATTGTGAGTTGAGTTCAATCGCTCAGTCATGTCCAACTCTTTGCGACCCCATGAACTGCAACATGCCAGGCTTCCCTGCCCAACACCAACTCCCAGAGTTTACTCAAACTCATGCCCATCGAGTTGGTGATGCCTTCTAACCGTCTCATCCTCTGTCATCCCCTTCTTCTCCCACCTTCAGTCTTTCCTAGCATCAGGGTCTTTTCCAACGAGTCAGTTCTTCACATCAGGTGGCCAAAATATTGGAGTTTCAGCTTTAGCATCAGTCCTTCCAGTGAATACTGAGGACTGGTTTCCTTTAGGATGGACTGCTTGGACCTCCTTGCTGTCCAAGGAACTTTCAAGAGTTTTCTCCAACACCATAGTTCAGAAGCATCAATTCTTTGGTGCTCAGTATTCTTTATAGTCCAACTCTCACATTAATACGTGACTACTGGAAAAACCAAAGCTTTGACTAGATGGATCTTTGTTGGCAGAGTAATATCTCTGCTTTTTAATATGCTATCTAGCTTGGTCATAACTTTTCTTCCAAGGAGCAAGCATCTTTTAATTTCATGGCTGCAGTCACCATCTGCAGTGATTTTGGAGCCCCAAAAAATAAAGTCTGTCACTGTTTCAATTGTTTCCCCATCTATTTACCATGAAGTGATGGGACCAGATGCCATGATCTTAGTTTTCTGAATGTTGAGTTTTAAGCTAAATTTTTCACTCTCCTGCATTATAGGCAGATTGTTTATTGCTGAGCCACCACACAAACCCCAAAGTTACAAACACTTAAAATTAGAGCCCTTTTCATCTATATCAGGATATACACAGGTTTCAAATTTGATCATTAAGTTCTTATTATTATGCTTTCATAGCAAACGAGCATTGATTAGATTCTGAATTCAAGTTTAGCTTATGTACTTTCTCTGCAACAAAATCTCTTTGACAGAACCAGAATCCCTGTCCCAGAAATGAACACTTATGAGGCATTATCCTCCAACATCTTTGCCCCATAGAAAACCAACAAGGGCCTGACAAGTGCTTCCAGAAGGGACAGATGGTGCTGACCGACTTTGTTTCAGGAAAGCACCCTTCCTTTCCCATTCTAGAAGAGAAGCCTTTCTCTTCGACCAGAATCAATCTTTCTACTGGGAAACAGTCATCACTGAATCAGTCACACAACACAGCAATCTTTTTACTTACCACTGACAGAACTGCAGACTGTGAAAAATAAAAGAGAACTTTAAAACTTCTCTTAAAAATTGTTTGTGGGTCTTCGGTACACCAGGCACTTCACATGAACTCCCTTTTTAACCCCCACAAGCCTATGAAATAGGGACCATCTATCATCCCCATTTTATTGGTGAGGAAACTGGGCCTCAGGTTGCTGCTGAGCAGTCTACAGGCAGTAAGGGATGGACAGGACATGAATCTCTGGCTTCTACACTATTAGCACTGACTTCCAATTCATATTAGTGAACAATATTTATTAAGTTTCACCACATGCCGAGAACCTTCTCCAGTTTAACTTTATTTACACATGAAAAAAATGAAGCCTGAAGATTTGAATTGCCTGCCTCAATGTGACTAAAGTAGTTAGAAGCAGAGCAACAAAGGAATTGGAAATGATGCCTTGTGTTTTCACCTCTGGAATTGGAACTCTGATCCAGTTCAAACTGATTTAATTTAGGTTCCTAAAACTTGGGCAAAGGCATACTTTCTCAATCTGCCTAAATTGGTCCCCACATATATTTTCCCCTCGTTGGGAGGCAGAGTCACCTTGCCCTTCACGTGAATAATTCCAGTGGTGAGACATTCATTACTTCTTAACACTCATGTCACATGAATTACCAATGGAATCACTGAAAGTCTGACTTAGCCGCTGCCCGCAGGTGTCCATTCTCGGAGAGCAGAAACCTACCTGCTGCTGCACATGGCCCGTGTACTGTTCTATGAACTCAGTAAAGCGAATGTAGTCCGTGCCCAGCCGGCAGAGTCGATTCAAGACACTGGTTTCACTGGGATGAAGAAATGGGAAGTCCTGTGACACCTGGAAGAGAAGAATAATGCTAAGAACGCTGACGCCTGCTAGTCACTGCTCGCTACAACTGCTGCCTCCCTTTGCAAGATGCCTATTTAAGATCGATAAGTTCTGCATAACAAAAAAATGTTCAAGTCACTACAAAGACCTTATTCCCTAGCCCTAGCCTAATTAGTCACTTATTGAAATGGGTGGTAATGCATGGTAAAGAATTTGAGCAATACAGAATGGTGTACATTAAAAATAAGTCAACCTCCTCAGAGGCAGCCACTCTCACCTATTTCTTTTTTTGCCAATTGAAGTATAAATATTATATTGGTTTCAGATGTACAATGTAGTGACTCAGTATTTTTAAAGACTACATACTGTACAAAGTTATTACCAAAGACTGACTATATCCCTGTGCTGAACATCACCAGCCCGTGACTTATCTATAATTGGTAGTTTGTACTTAATACCCTTCACCTATTTCATCCCTCACCCTACCCCTCTTCCTTCTGGAAATGGCCATTTGTTCTCTGTATCTACACCATCCGTTTCTGTCTTGATATGTTTGTTTGTTCATTTTGTTTTCTATATTCCATATGTAAGTGATTTCATACAGTATTTGTCTTTGCCTGATTTCACTAAGCATAATACCCTCCAGGCCCATCCATGTCGTCACAAACGGCAAGATTTCATTCTTTTTCATGGCTGAGTATATTACCTATTTCTTATGAAATCTTTCTCCCTGGGATGATCTATAAGGCTATATGAGGTTTTTGACCTGGTTGCAACAAAGTCTCTTGAGCAATATTGCTCTAACTTGGATCTGCACACTCCAGAGGTTTCTCAAACATACTCATAGGATTTACAAATTCTATATGAAATTTTAAATTCTGTTTTCATTTCAGTAAAATGTAAAGCTTAAAAGAACAAAAAAAAGTAAAGTTAATGTAGCATATTGTAATCTGTAAGAGCACCTTAAAACTGGACATATAAGTTACTGTCCATATTTTCATTCAATTTTCAAATTTTTAAATTAAATTTTTAATTTAAACCATGGCCAAATGATAACTTAGTATGGTATATAAAGATTTCATAGCAGTTCAAGCAGAAAAACAGTAGTGAGAGAATATATTCATTCAATCAACTTACAAAGAAATTGATGGCAAAATATGCACAGAAGTTATCATTTCAGCCATTATCCAGTATACAGTTTGGTGGCATTAACTGCATTCACACTGTTGGGCAGCCATCACCACCATCATCTCCAGAACTTTCATCTTTCCAGATGAAAACTCTGTACCTATAACTCTCCATTGTTCCTTAACCCACAGACCCTGCCAAGTACCCTTCTGATTCTGTCTCTATGAACTTGACTGCTTTACAATATTGATTCTTTTGTGACTGGCTTATTTCACTTAGCATAGTGTCTTCAAGGTTCATCCATGTTGTAGCACATGTTAGAATATCTCTCCTTTTTAAGCTGGAATAATATTCCACTGTGGGCTTCCCAGGTGGCTCAGTGTTAAAGGATCCGCCTGCCAATGCTGAGATGCAGGTTCCATCCCTGGGTTGGGAAGATCCCCTGGAGGAGGAAATGGCAACCCACTCTAGTATTCTTACTTGGGAAATCCCATGGATAGGGGAGCCTGGCAGGCTACAGTCCATGGGGTCACCAAAGAGTTAGACACAACTCAGACTAAATAACAACAACAATATTCCACTGATATGTGTTGTATTTTGTTTAATCACTTCCTTTGTCTATGGACAAACTGCTTCTACCTTTGGGCTACTGTGAATAATGCTGCTATGAACATGGTGTACAAATACCTATCAGAGTCTCTGCTTTCACGTCTTTGGGTTATATACCTAGGAATAAAACTGCCGGATCATTTGGTAATTCTCTGTTTAATTTCTGGGGGAGTCGCCATATCTTTTTCCCCAGGGACTGCACCACTTTACATTTCCACCAGCAATGCACAAGGGTTCTAATTTCTCTACATCCTCACCAACTCTTTATTTTCTGTTTTTTTTTTTTTTGGTAATAACCATCCTAAAGGGTATAAAGTGATATCTCATTGTGCATTTTCCTAAAGAATCATGCTATTGATCATCTTTTTGTTTATTGGCCACTGAATATCTTCTTTGGAGAATCAACTGAATTTTAGTGACCACCTACTTATCCCAGGCACTGTGCTAACTTTCCATAAATAAAGAGCCAAGTCAGATATATTTACTACTCACAAGGAACTCAGAATATTTCATATTCATATTGTATTGTATTTTGTGGGAGCCATTTTTATGATAGTAAATGTAATAAATAGGCAAAAAAGAATTCTTCTGTCACTGATTCCACAATAATTTGATTAAGAGTCCATTTAAAGTAGACTTAATGACACAATGTTAACCCTATCTTCAAGTTAATAACTTTTAAGAGGTAGCGTGACATAGTGCTTAAGAACCTGGTCTCTGGAGTCAGAATGCTTGGGTTTGAATCCCTGAGTTGCCTCTTACTTCCTTGAAATCTTAGGCAAGCAATACCCCTCTGTGTCTCATCTTTCATACCTATAAAGTAGAGATAATAATTTTGAGGATTAAATATATAAATCACATGTGCCAAGCACACAGCCAAGTGCTCAATACATGTCAGCAATTTTTTATTATTAGGACAGCTCTATTCAGTTATTAAGTGATATTACTATTAAAATTGGCATTTGCACAGTGTTGCAGGAATTTTAAAAAGTTCAAGGTCTGGGTTATTCTGAAACAGCAAATGATACCTTAAAGTTATTGGTACTATTTAGTATAACCTACTTATATGAACAGAGTTACTGAAGTCAAAATAGAAAATAGCCAGATCTGCAGCAAGATCAGTCTACTATTAAACTCAAGTGTTGACAATTTAGGTTTAGCAAAACAAAAGTATATGCTGCATTAGCTCAGTGGTTCTCAACTGGGGCAATTTTGCTCCCAAGGGACAGGGTAATGTCTGGAGGTATTTTTGGTTGCCAGGGGTCCTGCTGGCATCTAGTGAGTAGTGATCACAGATAAGGCTGAACACCCTATAATGCACAGGACAGTCCCCACAAGAAAGAATTATCCAGTCCAAAATGTCAATAGTGCCAACACTGAGAAGCTGCATGAGATCGTCAATGTGAATTTATCAATTTGACAGCATTATTTACTTTGTAAAGATAATTGGGTTTACAGTTATTCAAGAACAATATGCTTGAGTTTATACTTAGCTTAATGTGTGTACATATTCTATATTACAATAAAATTATTTTTATCAACACAGAACTTACATGACAATTTTACCCTTTATCCAAATGTGAAAAACACTGTTCTGAAGAAAGTATGCAATAATTGCTGGTTTGGGTAAAATTTTTTCTTTCACAAGTACCTTTTTTTTTTAATTAAAAAAATTTATTTGGCTGTGCTGCATCTTAGTTTTGACATGCAAACTCTTAGATGTAGCATGTGGGATATAGTTCCCTGACCGTGGATTGAACCCAGGCTCCCTGCACTGGGAGCATGGAGTTTAGCCACTGGACCATCAGGGAAATTCCTCACAAATATCTTAATACCTGCTATGTGGCAGAAATTGTTAGGTGCCTCTGCAACATCTATGAAGACCGTTGTGGCCTTTGACACCATGGGCAACCTATGTGAGAGAAAGACTATATATGTAGGTAACAACAATAAATCATATGAGTTATGATGTCCTCTAAGAGAAATAAGTTGCTGTGATGGAAAATAATGGCATTAGAAGTATACTTAAAGAGGTGGTTAGAGAAAGTTTTTCTTAGACAGTAACTTTAAAACTGAGAACTTAAAGAGGGAAATATCCAACTGAGACTTTTTATAAGAAAAGAAGGGGAAAAAAAAAGAAAAAAAGGAAGGTAGCTATTGTTCCCATATTCTGTTGTCTCTTTTTACTTCATAGTCAAGCGCACACAATTATTTTCTGAGTCTTTTCCTCCTACATGCCTGGCATTGTGCTAGTTTTACAGGTGCAAAGAAATAATAAAAGATGAATCTGTTTGATTTATAAGTTGTAAAAACCAAGAATGTAATTCTTCTGCTCCTCCACAGCTTATACTACCAATTCTCATACAAACAGGCATGGCTTTGTGATCAGACAGCTAGATTCAAATGTTGCCTTTTTAAGACCAGCCACCATAAAGTCCTCTGAGCTTCAGTTTGCTCTTTTGTAAACTGGGGCCAACAGTACATAAGTTACTAAGTTATGGAAATGATTAGATAATATTACTGGAAGCAGAAGTAGAAAGAGTGGTTCAAATACTGAAGTCAGACAGACTGGGTTCAAGACCCTAAACTTATTAATCTCTATGTGATCCCTGACACCGGGAATTAATCTCTGATATGGAGACAGGTGGTTGTGAAGATTAAAGTATACAGGTAAACCATATAGTATATACATAGCCCCCTTGAATATCCCTGAATACATGAAAGACCTCCCCCGCTCCAAATCTCTTAGTGTAGAAATTTTCCCGGCAAGGAGTAATAAGGAAAACACTTTTTCATTCAACAAAACTGGCTGAATCCTTATTGTAAAGTGAAAGTGAAGTCTCTCAGTCGTGTCCGACTCTTTGCGACCCCGTGGACTGCAGCCTACCAGTCTCCATCCACGGGATTCTCCAGGCAAGAATACTGGAGTGGGTTGTCATTTCGTTCTCCATATTGTATATTAGGCACTGTGTATTTAGTCTAACTTTCAAAACTCAGTTTAAAACGTTGTGCAAGCATGAAGATGGGAGAAAGGACCTCTCTCATTTTTACATCCAGTTCTCCAGCAACTCTCGCCCAGACACTTCAACATTAGTCCTGGTCCGGGATTCCCTCCTCCCCTAAGGCAAAGGCAATGGGGGTCTACCCTCCGCTTTCCGCTTAGGCCCAACCCTCTCCAGCTGTCTAAACCATCCCTAAGCCCTTAAGGGCACAGCCCTCAGGTTACCAGTCCGGGGATACGCCCCCCACGCCTCGGTCCTTGCCAGCCCCGCCTTCTTGCTCTCTCAGACTCCTCCTCCCAAGCGCTGGCTCGGGGCCATCCATTCCGAGCTCGCTAGTTCCCGCGCTCTGAGCCGAACAGTACCTGGAGGCCACTCCGCTTGTTCCAGGTGAAAATGGACCCTGGGTACCCGCTCAGAGCCAAGAGCAGTTCGTGGATCATCCCCACGGTACACCTCGAATCCCTATATCCGTCGCACACTCCTCCAGGGCCTCAGCTGGCGACCAAGTAGGCGAGCGCTCCCTTCTCAACGTGCGCACAGTCTCCGGGACGCACCGTTCCTCCCGACTTTACCCGCCGAGACAACTGCAGGGGAGACGGGACGGGAAGCAGTCGGCGCGCCGCGTCCCGGAAGTGTGCCGCGCTCAGCCGGGCCCACTCGCCGGCTGCAGCCGGTGCCCCGCAAGAGTCGCGGGAGCTGCCCTTGCGCATGCGCCTTTGACTTCCGAGTCACCCACTCTGACTTCCGGTTTGGAAGCTGGACTGGGAGGCTGGCGAGCCCGGGCTGGAGCCAGACCCAGACTGGGTGAGGCTGGCCGGTGGGCAGAGATGCGAGCGGGTTGAGCGATAGCCTGAGAGGGAGAAGGTCTCAGGTGTGGGCCACAGGGTGCTCTCAGGGCGCCTTAGTCCGGTCGGAGGCCTCTGGAGGGACTCACGACGGCTCCGAGAGTGACCTGGCCGGAGGGAACGAAGACAAAGAGGCCGGAACCCCGCACCCGCCTCTCCTAGACCTGAGCTCCGCGCGAACCTCGCAGGCCTCGGAGCGCCTGGCCACCACCCGAGCTTGTCCTCAGGAGACCCATGACTACTGCCCCCTCGGAATTCCTCTCTCCACCAACTCAGTGTGACTCTCACCAAACCCACCCGGACCTCGCTTCAGGAGCCAAAATCAACTTCTCAATGCGCGAGGTTTCCCGTCAGTAGTTCCCGGATGTTTACTGAGCGCTTACTTCTGCTGTGAGGGAAAACAGAGACCCAGTGTTCAGCACTTGGTTTCTGCCTGGGTGGGAACTGGCAGCGGTGGAGTCTCAGGGAGCGGGGTGGGCTGTGAGGGCCTGGGGAAGGACGGCGGAGGTGAGCTGCGACCCGCTGGACAGAGGCTTTTCGTTACCTTCAGCGGGATGGTGAGCTGCCTCTAGAACCTCCCGAGCTCCACCTCTCCCAGATGGTTCGAGCTCACTGGTCAGGGGAGCTCAGTGGGTCAGGTCTGGGGGCGGTGGAAGAGCAGACAGTACTTTCCATCCTCTGCTGCTTCTCCGGGCTGCCCTGGATGTCGCCCAGAAATGCAGCCTCTGAATGGTCTCTCACCTTCATGCTCAGTTTCGACTTCCTGACCTCAGATGACCCCTCGGAGTATATGGGCAGTCAGGCCAGCTCTGACAAGACTCTATAGACATATATTCCTTCTGATAGTGCCATCTCTCTCTGCCCTAGGAGGAAACTGCTTACAGAGAGAGACTCATCTGCAGGTGATTCTCCAAGGACATGGGAAGATGGGTGTAAGCCCTGGAACCTAGACCTTTAAGTGAAGGGAAGCTGCTTCCTGCTGTGAACCATGGCCAAACCCACCCTGAGAGGGAATGGCTCTAACTCTGAGGCCTTCAGACAGCGCTTCAGGAAGTTTCATTACCAGGAGGTGGCTGGGCCCCGGGAGGCTTTCAGCCAACTCTGGGAACTCTGCTGCCGTTGGCTAAGGCCAGAGGTGCGCACCAAGGAGCAGATTGTAGAATTGTTGGTGCTAGAGCAGTTCCTGACCGTCTTACCTGGGGAGATCCAGAACTGGGTACAAAAGCAATGTCCAGAAAGTGGAGAGGAGGCAGTGACTCTGGTGGAAGACTTAGAAAGAGAGCCTGGAAGACCTGGACGTTCGGTGAGCAGGGGGAGGGAATTCAGAAGTACGTGACTGGGAAGGGGCAGGATAAAAGACCAAATTAAGGCAGTCTCCATTTGCGATGTCCTACTTCTGGTCCTTCAAAAGGCAACTTTTTCAAACAGCTTATTGGGAGATGCCACCTGAATGTAACTTTTCAGCATGAGAGGGGAATTCTTTTTTAGTGTGGAACTGGGTTTACTGTTTTGTTCTGGAGTTCCAGGTGCTCTAAGCTAACAGTAATGGAGTGAGAAAGACCCTTGTTCTATTAACCAACCCCTCCACCACCACCCCAACCCTAGCCATGTCCCAAAAGGATGATCTCTTTTGGGATATTAGACTCCTCTGGGAATACCCCTCATTATGACCTTGCAGTGACAATTCATGGGGGTTGTTTCCAGGTCACAGTCTCTGTGAAGGGGCAGGAAGTGCGCTTGGAGAAGATGACACCCCTGAAATCATCACGAGAGTTATTAAGTGTTCGGCAGGAGTCAGTGGAACCCCAGCCCAGGGGTGTACCCAAGAAAGAGAGGGCGAGAAGCCCAGACCTGGGACCACAGGAGCAGATGAACCCAAAGGAGAAGCTCAGACCTTTTCAAAGGAGCGGTGAGGAGTAGATTAATTGGGAAGATAGGATGCCGTTCTAAGTTGGGAAGTAGGGTTGGGAGCAGTGAGTGGGAAAGGGATTTCAGGAATGAGTGGAAACAGCATGGAGCTGTTGGGGACCTCCTGAAGGCAAGTAGCTGAGCTCTCTGCTGCCAGAAGTATTCTTATACCTTCCTCTTTTGATAAGTCTGCCAGAGAATGGCTCTCTATAGTTTTTACCAGGACTTGGAATTTCTTTTCTCCTGGTAATGATGACACTAAGTCTGAACTTTCTAGATAAAAATTCTTTTCTGTACTTGGCATATCTTCCCTTTAGTCATTTTCTTTCTCCATATTAAACTAGATTTGTTTCTTTAAGCTTTTCCCCAGAAGCTCCATTCTTGAGACCTACTAAGTTTTTGTTAGCCTCCTTTGAAAAATTCTTCAAACATCATGTTAATTGTGGAGAATTAAATTATATATATTATTCCAGTGAGGGTTTGGCAGGTAGAGGCAGACTAAGAATTTTACTTCAGAATTTCACTATACTTTCTTGCAGTATAACTCAATGATTATCATTCACTTGATACTCCCAGGTCTCTTCCTGATTGTCTTTGTGCCTGGTTCTTAAACTTGGTTTTGTGGAACTTGTTTTTCTTCTTTGTACTCTGCTGAGCTCCATTTTGTACGTTGTTTTCCTTGAACACTTCTTTAACTTGTTGAGGTTGTTCTGAATTCTGATGTTATCATCCCAGACGCCAACCTTCTCAGCCAGGCTGGTAGTGGGCTCTGTCTAGTCATCCAGAGGCAGTCCCTCAACCCCACTTGCAAAATTGATCAGTTTTTGAACACCTACCATGTGCTCAACACCATACAGGGTACTTGGAATGAAGACAGGTGCCTCTCAAAGAGCCTACAATATGATTGAGAATGTAAGAATGAACATAAATATGTGCTGAACTGAACTGTATTGAAGCAGTGCCAACAGTGACTTGTTACTCATCTGTGTGAGTACAGTAGGGGCTTGGTGGAGTGGGAGACGAGGGAAGGCTGTTTGGAAGGCTTCAGGGGGCACTAATGGGTTAAATTTGCATAGAAGGGAGGGAGTTAAAGGAAAGGCAAGGCAGGGTGGTGAATGTGTGCTGCGTTCTGGAGAGAAGAGTATGGTATGAAAGGGCCGTGCATGGCAGACACTCAGGCTAAGGTTTGGCAGTGCAAACAGCATGTGAGCTGATGAAGCAAGAGCCCCGAGTTAGGTAGAGCAGTGGCTGCTGCATTACCCAGGTGAGGGAAGAGAAGAGGTCTAGACTTAGATGGTGGCAGAGGAATAAAGGATATACTGAGGGAAAAGCCTCTAGAAGTTACTGACCAAGTGTGAGAGAAATGGAAGAGTTGAAGACAGTCTCCTTGCAGTCACTCTTGAGTTTAATTCTCTAGCCCCAAGTACAGCTGACCCTTGAACAACGTGAGTTTGAACTGCACGGGTCCCCTTACACACAGCTATCTTTCCATAGTTATTACTACAGTACTGTAGTTGGTTAAGTCTGCAGATGTGGAGGAGCGTGGATACAGAGGGCCTACTGTGAGCTCTACTTGGATTAACCCCCACATCGTTGAAGAGTCAGCTCTCTAGGAGGCAGGAGGTGACTGTTTTCAGCAGTGCCAGGACCTGCATACAAGCAGTCAGGAGAGCTAAGCAGTAACTTGTAGAATTATCTGCTCTGAACACACAAGAGGACACTTTCCTCTGTCACCCTGCTCTGGAAAGTATTTCTCATTTTTTGAGGTTTTATGTATTTTCCTCACTTTCTTCAACCCACTGATCTTTCTAAAAACATTTTCTTACTTTTCTTTATAAGCTTCTTGGATTAAAAAAAGGCAAGTCTGAACTCAAGAGATACTTTTTATGATCATTCCAAACTATGATATCCTTTGTTTGCTTCCCTGCAAGCAGGATTTCCATGTTCTAAATCCAGCATGGTCTCCAAGTTGGAGCAAGGAGAGCCATGGATCCCAGATCTGGGCTCCAAGGAGAAGGAACTCCCAAGAGGCGGTCACATAGAAGACAGACGAGTGCCTGCTGATCTGTTACCATCCAGGAGAGAGAGAAGCAGCTGGGTGGACCAGGATCCCTGGGGCTTTGAGGATGAGAAGGTGGCAGGTGTGCACTGGGGCCATGAAGAGACCAGAACTCTCCTTGCAATTCTCAGTCAGCCGGAGTTTTATGAGGCTCTCCGAAACTGTCATCGAAACAGCCAAGTGTATGGGGCTGTGGCTGAGCGGCTCCGGGAGTTTGGGTTCCTCCGGACCCTGGAGCAGTGTAGGACCAAGTTCAAAGGTCTCCAGAAGAACTATCGGAAAGTCAAGAGTGGTCACCCACCTGAGACCTGCCCCTTCTTTGAAGAGATGGAAGCCCTGATGAGTGCCCAGGTCATTGCCCTGCCCAGTAATGGCCCGGAGGCGGTGGCCTCTCACTCTGGCCTGGGAGGCAGTGATGCCGAGACCGAGGAGCCAGAGCAAGACGGCTGGCACCATGCAGAGGGAGACGCGGCCACGGCTGAAGAGTCTGACAGTGACGCAGTGGGCCAGGAGGCCACCCCCCAGGACCCTGACAGCTCCACCACACCTGTCCTTTTCCGCAGCCCAAGTGGTAAGCTCTTCTTGGCGTTTTAGGATTAGACTGAGGAATTATGCGGTTGGGTGTGGA